GAGAGCCCTGTCAGGATCACCGTTTGCGCCAGGATTTTTCAGGAACGCTTCCGCCAGCATCCCCGGCGACCTCTTCAGGACCAGGACCAGCGCAGCAGAGTGCATGTGACGTGTCGGTGCAGAGTGCGTGTGGCATGTCGTTGGAGAGTGCGCATGGCATGTCGGTCGGTCGGTCGGTTGGTCGGTCGGCTGGTTGCGTTGGGGTTGGTGTTTCCCAGTGTGCTGAAAATCCTGGTCCCAGCGAGACATCCTGGCCCGAGCTCCCGCCTGATACCCTAGGCCACCGTTGCTGCGATGAACCCTGCCACCAAATGGAAGCTGAAAGCGCCGAGGGTAGAGGAAGCCACATGCGATCCTTTGCTGACCTCGGCCCTTTCGAGGGAAGAATGGGATCAAGTGGGGAAGCTCATGCCGAAGTTTGTGCCGCCATACACNNCAATGGGCATCGAAGCTCCCACTCGCTCACGGGCAACGACACTGGCAGGAATACTGCCTGCTCTGTGGCAAAGGTGCAACGGCTGGGCACTTGGCCACAGAGAATCACAGCAAGGCAATGGCCAGCTGGGAACGACGTGGCCGTCCACAACTGATAATCTCGCCGGAGAGATTCTCCGACAACGAACGCCTGCAAATGTGCCTGCAGGGGTATCTTCTCAAGTTCTCAGACGAGCAGATTCGTGTGGTACAGGAGCGGGTGCTCCAAACAGAATGGTACCAAAGCCAGGGAAAGTACCAAGGCCCGGTGCCACTCGAGTCGGAGATAGTGCCAGGCGAGTCATCGGCAGCCCCCTCGAAGTCGTTGACAACAGGAGCTGGCATATGGACGGCGGAGCCGCCGCCCATCAAGGGGAAGACCGCATCCTCGGGGACACCGGTTGCAAAGGAGAAGGCCACATCCTCGGGGACACCTGTTGTGAAGGAGAAGGCCACATCATCGGGGACACCGGTCGCGAAGGAGAAGGCTACATCCTCAGCGACGCCGGTTGCGAAGGAGAAGATCACAGCCCAAAGGGCGGTGTCGGCAG